ACTACTACTAGTAGTAGTAGTAGTAGTGCTGAGAGGGTCTATGTCCCCCAGGGTACTGCCGGAACGTACCCTGGGTACGGTCCGGTATACCGGAACGTACCCTGGTACTATCTAATATGCCGGACCGTACCTCGTCTACTCCACTAACGAGTCTAGGGAGTCGCCTACGCCTACTCCCTAACTCGAACCCGAACCCTAACCTTAACCCTAATCCTAACCATATCAAGTAGTGACCAGGGTACGTTCCAGCAGTACCCTGGGGGACATAGACCCTATGAGCCCTACTAGTACTAGTACTAGCAGGAGTAAGATAATATAGAATCTATTCTATATTATCTTACTCCTGGTACTAGTACTAGTAGTACTACTGTCTGAGCAGCATTTTCAATTTTGGCTACAACTACAAGTACAAGTACAATATTTCATGATTTGAACGTACCGCCGACCACGTTCCATTTTGAAACCCCTATAAAATGAAGCTGAGCAAATTATGAAAGGTAATCACATAACATAGGCGAAAACATGACGTCCCAATTAATACAACTAGAATAGAGGAGCAGCAAGCAAACTGCCCAAAACAGTTTAAGTTACTGAGCATCAGCTGAAATGGAATATTGGGCATTGATGATAATAGAACTCATAGGAGTCATACTCATAGCTCCATCTGACGGTGGTTGGTTGTATAAATAGACCAATGGTCTGACCATGCACAAATTCCATGTATCATACTTCCGCAGCTAAAATATCAAATATCAGTTGCTCAAATGCTGTGGCATACATCTTATATTCTGAAATGGAAATAAAATATATAGGTTTTTTTAACAGAATGGCTGTGTTAAAATACCTGTGTAGGTTTTGGAATAGAGGGCGCCATAACTCAAGAGCATTTGGTAAACATGGCAGCCTCCAGAAATATATTTGAAAAAGCCTTTAATATAGTCAAAAATTCTCCACGTGTTAGTATAAATAACCTTAGACCGAATCCAGGAGCTCATACAAACGTAAGAACACCACGATGTCGTTTCTCCAACCGCCATATTGTGTCATGTAGTATAATTTGTGCGGTTCATATAGTAAGTTATTCAAAACATGCTCTTGGCCTTACTCAAGTTACGGGTGATACTCCATTACGGCATTAGGAGTGTTCCCAACTTTAATGTCATTAATGGTCATAATAACATATATGGTCATACGTCATGGTCATATATTAGTTTGTGGTTTAATGTCATTTAGGTTAGGGTTAGGGTTATCAATCATTAATCATTACTACATTAGACGATTAGTAATAGTATTAGTACATTACATTAATCATTAATGATAACAAAGTGGGGAACACTCCTAATGAAGCGTTAGCCCAAGTTACTGACACTGACAATAATAACAATTACCATTAGAAATACTATTATTTATTATTAGAATAGGGTTATATATATATGGCGGTAATAACTCGCCATTGATCGGTGCTAGTGTTGCACGTGTGACATAATTGGAATATTGGCAGCCCAGCGAGTGTCCCGTCTCAAGTTATATACAGTCTATTGGACTTAGTATTAGTATTACCAGGAGTAAGATAATATAGGCTATATTATCTTACTCCTGGTATTACTAGTACGGTAAAACTCGCATAAAGGCCAAGACACACTGCAGCGACAGCGACCGACCGTAATGACAAACAACTTTTCAGAAAATTAGAAACTATTGTTTCCTATGAGCCATTGCACACACACGCGACAACGACCCGCGACAACCTTGACGACAAAAATATTTAGGAACGTTTCTATTCTCCAGCGACAGTTGTCAGCGACACTTTACAAATAGCCAATCGCAGCCGTTTCCATCGGCGTGTGACATTACGATTACGTCATAAATAACCCATAATGCTAGCCAAGACATAGACTGGTCTCCGGCGCTAAACTCGCGACGCATGTCACAAACAATGGGGTCGCGAACCAGTCTAACCAAAGCGTGCAAGCTGTGGCAAGCTATACATAGTACCTTCAGTACATGATAATTTGCTGCGTATATTTTACTTTATTATCTTATCGGATTATCCTTATGCCTAGAGAGTTTTTGCAGCCTAATATTTAAAAGCAGCAGCATGAGTTTTTGCCGTTTGTTCATCTGATGAAGTGTACCACTTTGGCAAGTGCTGGGTGAACTTTGACCTAACGTCGGTCGCTGTCGATGCAGTGTGATTGCGCCAGTCGCCGCGACTTTTGTCGTTTGTCGTTACGGTCTGTCGCTATCGCTGCAGTGTGTTATGGCCTTAAGTCAACACTTTTGGGACCAGCATATTTGTGCCGACTTACAAAAATGACGATATACGCGTAAGTCGTCATTTTGTCGACATGTATGCAAGTCGCCCAAATGAAATGACGACTTATGCACGTGTAGCGTTTTGTGTACTCACGGTGACACCCGATGGCGCCACCAGTCGACACGTAGTGACTAGCAATAACCTTAGGTAAGAACACTCACCCCGTAGGTCCGGATGCGTTGAAATGGCCGTATCGTCGCCACCCGGACTCCGCTAGCCACCCGAGCGCCTCAGTGCTACTGCGCTCTCTTCGGACACGTTCACTCCAGCGTTCGTTCCGGCTCCGGTGCGATAGCGTGGTTAGTCAACAATGCCACACCACAAATATGACAACGGGGCACCCCACCCCGCTCTGCTGGCCTTACGTTACGTCTTATAATAAATGTTAACCCGGTGTATAAACAAAGGCTATACAGATATAGGCGTAGCCAGACAAAGGGCTCAATAACCAGCAGGCTCTCTACTGCACGGCTGCTCACAGCATAGGCCAGTTTCTATCCTGCACGTGAAGCGTTGGCACTCCTCTCTCTACTATTTTAGGAGTCCATTTAATACTCTACTCACTGTATTATTTACTCGCCCCACAAACACAGGACAATACAACTGCCTACTCACCAACCGTAGCTCTTAACTGTGGCCGACTCTCTGCGGGGTCTCACCCACAAGCCACGTCGAACACTGGTGAACCGTATGGTACTGTACCAGTAACGTATGCTAGCTGTCGTCACCATACTCTCATCGTACGGCCTCTCCACTCTATGCTCATATAGAGTAAACTAGCCACATGCTGTGGGGCCTACCTCACTCGACTCCCAAGACGAGCTCGAGTGTTAACTCTCTAGGTCGACGCCTGAGACAAACTCGAGTGCTACCTCTCTAAACGCCCGATACGAACTCCACTGTTACTTCAGCCAACTCCCGGGACAAAACTCAACCGTGTCACTCCCGCCTCACACACCGAGTCTGCTGTTTATTTTTCCCGCGCCACTCTCCGCCGCTAGAGGTGGTGGCTAACCAACCCAACATGGCTGCCCCCATGTAGGAACTCGACTATCCACAACAACAATTGGTGAGCAGGCAAAACACCACGAAAACGCACACTAATAAACACCAGACATCACAAATAATTATACAATCACAAATACGGAACATTAACCCATACCCTGCCCGTGGTTCCCAGTGAGCTACCTCACAATTACCTAGCTGGGAACCGTGGTGACCGGTGCCACCGCCACACACGTATATCGTCATTTTGACGATTTACAAAGCCGGTATTTTGACGACTTGGAGAGTGTCAAGCTGATATTTTGCCAGGCTTTATATCTACATGAACTACTTTTGCGACGAGACGCGACTTTCCACGCGAGCTGAAAATAAACAATGCGTCCAAGCAAACAATGCGAATGAAACAATCAGTGCACACTGCAACAACTCATGTAAACTCAGTTGCGCGATCTACAGGAGATCGTCGGTGCGACCTAAGCGCATATCTGCGACAGCCAGCTTGCACATTCCCTAGACCATACACTGCGCCATCGGCATTTCTGATGACAACTTACAGATGGGAAATTACTGTTGTTTGGGCTACATGGGACCTGTCTGAGGGCGACGACTTGCACATAATGGCGGCTTATAAATGACGACTTAGGAGGAGCTATTCCAATGGATGTACTATGAGAGAAAATCGGGACTTTGACTTCCATGACGACTTATGTGAAGTGACGAGTTAGACGATGACGACATGCGAGTTTTACTGTATTACCCCCCTCCTCGGTATTAGTATTATTATTTATATTTAGTATATTTTTAGCTCATCTGACGTAGTCAAATGCAGCTTGTAGAATCGCATGATTGTTAGTGTGTCCGGCCGTCTGGCCGACTGTCCGTGCGTGCGTCAACAGTCAGGCACAAATCTTCTCGCTCGACGTACGGTCACGATATTCGGGACGTGGGGGGGTAATCCGAAAACGAGTTGGGATGTTGAAGCTGGGGGTCAAAGGTTAAGAGGTGTAAAAGAAGGGGGAACATTCCCTCCTTAACTTAAGGTATAGGGAGGAAATGCAGAATTGCGGCACAAATCTAAACGGTCTACCTAGGATCGTGATCAGTAAAAGGTGTATCACAGAATCGATGGTGCCGGAAAAGCCATCACATGTTGCCGAAACTTTGGAGGTTCACAGGGTCAAGTCAATGGGCACAGGGCAGATTTAGACATTTTCTGAGGACATGTTGACCAGAGCGAGTCGAAAAACTTTTTTGTTTCACAGCGGTGACCTACCATTTTTATGGGTTTATTGGACAAGGACTCATGAATGACTTTCTGGCTGACACTGCCCGAGACGTATGCGGATAACCTTTTGGGGCCCTCAGAAGAAGAGGTTAAAACATTGATTTGTATGACTGTTAACAAAGGACTGAAACTGCTTTTTGCTTAATTATTAAGACCATACCTAGTGTGGAATGTGAGGGTAACAGTTGGCACAGTTTAATTTGCAAAAGGCAAATTTTGTTGAAACAAGGTTTTCGCTCCTTAATCATATTAATTTCTAAAGCCAGTCTGCCTAATATCCCCCTGAAGGCTGAATCAGTTTAATGCTTGCAGTGGGGTAGCAAAAACACGGGGCAGCACATGGCCTGCGCGCGCTTCTCTAATCATATAATTGTTCCCTGCAAACCTGCAAATGCACAATGTGTCTGGCCAATGCATATAGAGATTAGGTGGGTGGCGAAAAGTGTAGCTGATTACTATTTTGTTCGAATTGGCTAGCGAAATCCCAAAACCCCAGAATGCAAGGAAGGACTTATGTATAAGACGTCTTGCTATGCACAAATGAATTTATCAGCAGAACACCAGACACCAGATGAGCCCTGTCGCACTGCGGCACTTATTTAGTTTGTTTAATCGCAATATTTAGAGTTAGCCGGAGGGGTAGTGATTAGTTGGAGTTATGTTATAAACTTACAACTGTAACTCAGGGTGGATGTTTGCTATTAGCATCAATGCTATACTTATTACTACTCAGTAGTAATGCAAATGCAATATGTGATTAACCACACTGTACTATACTGATTATGCAAGAGGGAGTTATTCTAGGTTGATATTGCAGAGTAAAAGAAAAGGAAGGACTCTGAAGCATAGTTCTGTAGGCAAGCCCGGTAAAAGGGGCGCTCTACCACGAATCGGCCATGAAGGCGGCCAAACACCATTTTATCTTCTTGTACCTAAAGAGCCATACTATAACAATCACAAGTAAGTGGCCCTGGCAATGACATTTTCATTTTTAGTACACATATAATCAGGAGTAAGATAGTAGAGGATTATTATCT